GTGCATTATTGAAGAGGAAACACGCAGAGGAAGAAAAAAAAAGATGATAGTACAAAATTCGGACAACCAGTACCATTGATTTGAAGATACTTATGTGGATTGATAAAAAAAAAATTACTTTAAAACTTGATTAGAATTGTGCTGGTAAATGGAGAATATTTAAGCTCTGCTTGGCAATGTGAAAATCATTCACTTTTACAAAATCAACGAATTCAAATTACGTTAGTTTTAATCCCAGAAACTTTATTCAACTTCAACTATGGCTTGTTAAAACAAGAAACCAATCATCGTAATTAGCAGCAGCAGCGATGACGAGAGAAACGATGAACCATACTATCAGGTAAAAGCAGGATGAAGAAATTCAGTACCGTACGGAACAACGGCGGCGGAAGCGGGGGTGGGGCAGGGGACATTGGCCCACCCACTTTCTCTACTGGGGGGAGGGGCCTGCCCCCCCCCCCACTTTTGTGACTGTTACCAGCACCAGTGACAAACATTCTACGAACGCTGCAATGTCATTATTATTATTATTATTATTATCATTATTATTATTATTATTATTATTATCATCATTACTATTATTATTGTTATTTCGTGCTACACCTTGTTTATTTGCGCCTTTTAAATTTACCTATTATTATTATTATTATTATAAAATATAGATTTTTTTTTTTTTTCATTTTCTAAAGAATATTACAAGTTCTCTTTTTGAGTTGAGCAACCAAATGTTGATTGACGTCTGTACACGTGCGTCTGTAAAGTTTCCTTGAAACCCACCCTCTAGCATGCAGAAAAATCGCCTGCATTCGTGAATTCTGTATTTAGGCATATGAGGGAGGTAGGCATTCTTAATGGAGCGACGTTCTAGTTCTCTTCATGCTAACCACGAAGATGCATAGTAAGTGTAACTGATTGGCTTACAGTAAACCATCAAGCTAGCGTAATATAACCACATTTAAACTCTAATTTAACGAAAACAATAAGATACTTATTAGGCCACTTTTTTAAATAAAGTTGTCTGAAGGTTAACTACAGAATTTACCACTGTAGTTAATGTGTTACAGGTTGTAAAAACTGTATTGAGTAAAAAAAATTTCGATTGACATTAGGAATTAATCATTTGTGAAACAAAATGGTAGGCTATGTCAAGTGTTCTATTGAATAGTGGCAGATTCAAGGGGAAACCCTATCAGCACGGGACCCCGTCCCATTTTTTTTTCAAAATTATTTTTTTTAAATGGAGAAAACAAACAAAATTGTATTCAACATTTAATCTGAGAGTGCCATTTCCGGCCATCTAGAGGTGCCAATTCATATTTTTCTTACATCAGCCCCAATAGATGTGGGGGTAAGAATTTATAAAATTCACCAAACTTCGTAATATCCGTAGCTTCCAGGGGGCGGGGCCCTTGGCGGCCCCCTGGCCCTCAGCCTAGATGCTCGCTTTGCTCGCATACTCGACCTTATGAAATGCCCACCCCCCCTTTTAAAAACGTTCCGCCGCCGTTGGTACGGAACATATCCAATTGGCCATCCCGAAATAATCGCAAACAATATGTCAACAGACATCAATGATTATTTCGGTTTAATAAAGTGTGCTATTGAAGCACCAAAACAGATCCATCCTGTCTTACCTTATCGTACAAACGGTAAATCAACGTTTCCTTTGCGTAAAACATGCGTGGAAACGCAGCAGCAAACATCGAGTAACCACACAAAAGCCGAGAGATCGTTTACAGGTACTTAGGTTACGACTGAAGTGTCAAAAGCCGTGGAAGTTGGGTACATAATAGAAAACACTGACACTTCAGTCGTAACCCACCTGTAAACAATCTCTCGGCTTTTGTGTGGTTATTTTTTATTATAGTCCTAATTATTTTACGAATATTTAAATTTTCATCATTATAATTTTTATTACTACCATTATTTTAAATATATTATTTAAACATTACCTATATATATAACTATTATTAAAACATAACCCCCCCCCTCCCCACCCACTTTAAACAAAGATTAAACAAACGTCACTTAGACATCACGTACCCGTACATATCACGGTTTTTCATTACTCATCAGCCCTTATCTCAATAGACACGTCGCTCATTGTTTAATCTCACTAAGACGTCATGTACCCGTACTTGTCTGGGTACGTCTCTCATTGGCTAATTTCACTCATGACGTCATGTGCCCGCATATCTATCGGCTTTCCGTTACTATTATTATTAATATTAATTTTCAATATTGTTATTATTTACATACCCGCATTATGCAAATTAATTATTATTATTATTATTATTACGATAGTTTGATAATCAGCTCCGGTATTAATATATTTTAGAAATTATTAAATGAATTATTAACCCCTAATCTACTTCTCAACGCACACAGTTTAATATTTATTTCTAGTCATCTGTTTATTTCATTATACTGTACCACCTTGGCCCTCAACACGTTACCACCACATTCATTATGACCCCAATGAGCGTCAGCTGCCCCCTTAATAAATGTATATATTGTTTCATTTTATTTTAATTTTTTTTTTTCGTTTTTTTTTTTTTGCATTATAAGTAGTAAGATTTAGAATATAGTCCAACAAAAGAAAAAATTTGCATATGAAAAGAATTCTATTGTTCTCTTCCCCCCTAATCCCCTCAATTCTTTTGTTTAGGACTCTCCTCATCGATATTTAGAACAATGGAATTGACCTTGTGACCTTAACTTCCCGTCAATGACCTATTGTTTTCTTTTACCGGACCTTGAAATATGAATTATTAATTTATGACGTAATGGTAAAACTGGATACGGTGTTTTTCAATTCATGTATCATATTTTTATTATGTCTATTGACGGGATGTCTTTATTCATCTTTATAGCCGTTTATCGTATAGAAAATATGAATAATAAATTTATGACGTCATTTCGGACATGTCCGAATTTGTTTGTGTTACTACGTCACAGTCGATACGTCACCCTTTTTAGACCTGTCTGTACTTGTCTATTTAGGGGGCATATAATTCATTGAGTAGAAAAAGTTTAAGTTTTCTTATCTCCATTCAACATGGTTGTCAGACAAGCAAAAAAATTAAGCGATGCTTACATCGAATATAAAGTAAATGGTAAAATTACGTGGGACTCACCGTTGCTGTTTGTTGTTATTCGTATAACAGACCAAATAGAAAAAGAATATATTCCTGAATTGTCAACGTTTAGCAGTTTCTGTCCCGATCAGCTTATCACACGCTTGAAAGAAAAGTTTGCCGGAGAAGAAATTAACTGGAGTCGCATCATGATTCTGTATCTTTTTTGCGCTTTAATAGCGAAGGGAAAGAGCGAGAACGAAATTTTTCAACTCAAGAAATATACCGGTGAATTCGCTATTGAAAGGTTTGGTGATTGGATCTCTGAGAACGGTGGCTGGGAAAGTTTTGTGTTTTTTAACGCCGATGTTTTTCCAGTAGAGGAATCAACCACTGAAATCATAAAGTATGATTGTTCTTGTTTTTGCTCTTACCGGAATGTGTGACAAATGCATTTACCGACGTTGCTACCCGGGTTGTTTCAACTGTCTTACATAGGAATAGAAAAGAACTGAATTTTCACTACTAAATATACTACCAACTTACTGATGCACTGTCTTCTCGCCTTGAGATCCATCTAACAATTAAATTCCGTCTTCAGTCAATATTTAATTATCTTCCTTAGGCGCGCTTCTTATTGTTGGAACGTTCTTAATTCTTTGTTACGCCTCCCCTTTGTTTAAAACAATGGCTTATCTTCTATTTGGTCACAGTTAATTCTAAGCTAGCAGCCTATCACATCCCAATAAATGTAAATTCGGGGAAAGAACCTACAGGGAACGAAAATTGGGATGAAGAATATAGGCCTAGACCTATTCAGATTCCAGTTTTAGAGGTTTCTGAAATCTCTAACCGGATAATGTAAGTTAATTTTTTTTTCTTTTTATTTATTTTTTTTTTTATTTAATTTTTTTTTAGTTTGGTTGTTTTTGATTGGTTATCTTGTACGATTTTCCTTACTTTTTCTTAATGATGATGTTTTTTTATTTTTTTATATTATTATAATTCTTTGGTCTCCCTTCACTCGATGTCGTGTCTGGACTTGTTGCTGGGGGTATGACGTCATAGATTCCTGCTTTTGTTACTTGTTCAACCTTCAACTATTAATCGATGCTGGGAAGGCACCCCGATTCGTCTGCAAAGCAACCAGCAAAGTTGAGCACCCCATACTTTCCAAATAATTTTTCGCCCCCATTTCGGGCGTGGTGGATAAAAACATTCCTGTTATTTGCCTCATAAACTATCCACTCTAAGGCTTTGCGGGAGTGCACATAATGTTTTGGTGTAGTATCGAAAATAGCAATCGTTTCTGGATGGAGAAAATTGCTACGAAAAACGAAATTGCAGGCCGATGCAATGGTTTTAATTCCATGATCGAATGGATCTATACCAGTTACATTTGATATGGAGGTGGACGGACCAGGCTCGTTTTCATTAACTTTCTTCTGAGTGGCATTCATGAAAAGAAATCTAAATGATAAGCAACTACGTTTTAAAATGTTAACGTCGCTTTGGCAATAACCCAAAATTTCTGTTAAACAGACCTTACACAGGAACTTTGTGCAGTCGTGGTCTTTATGTTTTCTCCTATGACAGTCAGTACATACTTTTACGGACTCACACACACTGATAGAAAAACCTTGTTTGTTTTTAGGTTTAAGTTTATGGTTTTGAAAACATTGTGGGTTTTTTAAATTTCGATTACAATCTGTGCAGTTAAGAGAAATTTCTTTCGAAACGATAAGGGAACAACCTGAACTGTGACAAAGTGAGCAAGTATACTTACATGAGTGTTTATCTCTATTGTCATAACATGATAGGCAATCTTCACAGAAATTACAATTATTAAAAAAAGCTTTAATGGAAGTAACGAGATTAAAGTGATTTTCGTGTAGTAAAAGATATATTCTTTTATCTTTAGGTGGGCCTTGGAAAATGAACGGTTTCATCACGTCGTTCGTAAACACGACAATTTGGTATTCGGGAAGGGCAATTTGAAAAAGGTTAATTTCGGCAACGCCACAAGGGCCTATTGGTACATTAGATGATTCGTGGAGTTGTCGGGCTAGATCGTCCTGCAAACAACGACCCCTCCTTATATTATCCCATTTAGTTTTATTATCAAGTTTGTCTTCATGCCATGACACTCATGTAACTATAGATCTCGCACAGCACATGTTATCGTCAACGTTTTTTATGTTGATTACGCATCTCTTTTGTATAAGCGCGTCAGCGAAAAGAATAGGTTTTTCCCCCCACCAATGGGCATTCGAACATGTAGGACATTAAGAATGAGTTGATCATTAACTAAAATATCCAAATGGGATTGAAGTACACTTTCCCACAATCTTTGAAAGACAGTTCGAAATTCACTCAGAATTAAAACTAAATTAAAAAAAAGAAAAAAAAAAGAAAATGGAGTTAATGTCGTCTTACAGAATTAGGAAAAACCTTGTACTCTGCTTACGACCGATTAAAGGAAGCGATCAAGAAAACTATTCATTAGGTCTACCATTCAAGACATAATCTTTTCATAACAAACACAATAAGATTAGAGAAAAACAAAAGTTTACCTAAAGAAAAGTAAAATCCTACTACAAAGGAAAGCAATAAAGGAGGCAGCTATAGTAAGAAAACAAAGATTACGTTTCCAACTCCCATCGATTTCACTTTCTTCTTAATCTATAGGTCCGTACAATTCTTCCTATAAGAGAAGCCACAAAAAAAGATTAGAAGTCTAGGATTAAAATAAGGTAATTAGTTTGTACTGGAAAAATAAAAATTAGAACAACACTTACCCAACCTCCTTGGTTTTTTATCCAATCAGAACACCTTTCAACAACAAATTGACCAATAGAATTCTTGAGCGCTAAAACCTGTTTCTCGCTTTTTCCCTTCGCTATTAACCCACTCAATAGATACACTATCATTATACGGCCCCAGTTGATTTTCATCAGCAAACATCCCCTTAAAACTGGAGAGAAGTTGTTCAGGGCTCAAATTGCTAAATCCAGAAAATTCAGAACTATATTCATTTTCGATCTGCTCAGTAATACGAATAACCACTAAAAGCAACGGTTAGTCCCACGTAATTTTACCATTTACGGTACTTTATATTCGATGTAAGCATCGCATAACATTAAGGCCTGTTGGACATCCATGTTTAAGGAAGCTAAAGACACTAATGTAATCTATCTATTCTCAATGAGTTATATACCCCCTAAATAGACAAGTACAGACATGTCTAAAAAGGGTGACGTATCGACTGTGACATGGTAATACAAACAAGTTCGGACATGTCCGAAATGACGTCATAAATTTATTATTCATATTTTCTATAGGATTAACGGCTATAAAGAGGAATAAAGACATCCCGTCAATAGACATAATAAAAATATAATACATGAATTGAAAAACACCGTATCCAGTAACACCACTACGTCATAAATTACTTATTCATATTTCAAGGTCCGGTAAAAGAAAACAATAGGTCTTCGACCGGAAGTTAAGGTCACAAGGTCAATTCCATTGTTCTAAATATCGATGAGGAGTGCCCTAAACAAAAGAATTGAGGGGATTAGGGGGAAGAGAACAATAGAATTCTTTTCATATGCAAATTTTTTCTTTTGTTGGACTATATTCTAAATCTTACTACTCTTAATGCAAAAAAAAAAAAACGAAAAAAAAAAATTAAAATAAAATGAAACAATATATACATTTATTAAGGGGGCAGCTGACGCTCATTGGGGTCATAATGAATGTGGTGGTAACGTGTTGAGGGCCAAGGTGGTACAGTATAATGAAATAAACAGATGACTAGAAATAAATATTAAACTGTGTGCGTTGAGAAGTAGATTAGGGGTTAATAATTCATTTAATAATTTCTAAAATATATTAATACCGGAGCTGATTATCAAACTATCGTAAATGCTCGAATACTATAAGTGCCGCTTTCGAATAACCCTTTAATCCGGCCGCCCTGGATAAGCTTACTGAACTACGGGAATACGTGAGATAAGTAACATGCGATGGTAACGTGATGGAAAACGCTACGCCAATATTGTTTATGACGTCGCTCTCCAAAAATGTTATAAGCGCCGCATTTACGGCCGATACAGGTGTATTTCAAACAGCAAACATATATATATATATATATAAATTTCCTCGGGGGAGGACCTCGACCCTCCTTTCTTTTTGGGGTTCATCGATTCATGGAAAAATGGAACTACTATTTTTTTTTCTGTGTAGGCCTATACGGGTACACACATAATATGCCTATTTACTGTAATAAGAATGAGAACAATTTACCTGACCATTTACAAAAGGGGGAAACCTTGAATTTTGAAAAACGTAGGTCATTAAAAGACACTTCAGAAGTCGGGAAAACTCACTTGTCTCCATCTAGGAATAAAAGTTGTCCTGGGGTGGACCCCCGACCCCCGTTCCATTTGGGGTTTATCAATTCATGGGAAAAAATACGTATGCAACGATTCAATTTTTTTTGGTACTTTATACACACATAATAGGCCTACAATTATTTACTGTAATAATAATGAGAAACTTTACTTGACCGTTTTCAAGAGGGGAACCTTTAAATTCGAAGAATTTACGAGTCATTAAATGAAACCTCAAAAGTCAGGAAAGCTCATTTCCTGCCACCTAGGGATCAAAATTTTCCCGGGGGAGGACCCCCAGATCCCCTTTAATCTTTGCGGATCGATTCGTGGGGAAAAAAGAATATGAATCTTGAAGAAGTTAGAAGTCATTAAAAGACACCTCAGAAAGTCGAGAAAGATCATTTCCCGCCATATAGGAAACACAAATTTTCCGGAATCCGAACTCCCTTTTCTTTTTGGGGTTTTTGTGAAAAAATGAGACACCCCCCACCCCCACTAAATGTGAACCCAGATCCGCCTCTGGACTACTGTACTATAGCAAAGAGTATAGAACTGCAATTCTATACTCTTTTGACTGTACAGTACAGTAATAATAACGTAATTTGAATGATGAATCCTCGTCCAATATTTTATAGATTCGTGCTAGTGTAAAATTTTTTTTTAAACGATATTTAAACTACAAAGATGCCAACAATGGTAAGACACCTAAAAGACTGGTGCTACAATATATTTCTTCCAGGTCTGTGCACGGTAAATCTGGATGGTAAATCGTCACAAACTTTTGGTCATTACTCAAATATAATAGGATACATGATGATGAAAAAAGGTCTTTGGCGGGAATTAAACCCAGCAATCTCTCACCAGGGGTCCCACGTCACCTGGAAATCGCTGGAGTGTCCCCGAAATTGGGACGACCTCAGATACTACTGCAAGCAAGCAAGAATTTCCTGGAAAATAACGGATCTCCTGCAAATTAGTAATACAGTATTTGACTTGACTTGTGGCCGAGTTGACTTGTGGCCGAGTTAACTTGTGGCCGAGTTGACTGTGGCCGAGTTGACTTGTGGCCGAGTTGGATCGAATTAGTTTTTACTACTTCAATATCAATTGTCTCACACAGGGGCGGAACCAGAATTTTTCAAATGGGTGGGGTGCATACAGCATTTTCATAATACATAAGTGTAGTGCTTATTTCAATACTTTGATAAGCATGGGAATTTTAAAATTATTAGAAAAAAGGGTGCCTCGTGCCTCTACTGGATCCGCATCTGTCACGAAAGTAAGTGCCGATGGGTAGCAACATGCACAGCAAAATATAATTCTAATCTGTTAAGAAAGCTGATTTAATCAAATTTCTTCTAACTTGGGACGCCTGCCTCGCTATATTGGCAAGTACCATACCGTTAGACCACAGAGGCCCGCAGGATATTAGGGAGCTTTCGATTGTACGACGACAGTAGGACGTAGAACATAATGATGTCACTAAAAGTCGTCTGCGCATGCGAGAATGTTAAGGTCACCTCGTCAGGTAGATTCTGGAACGCAATTTGGCCAAATCTAGGTATGCAGATAACGTAGGACGCCAGGTAGGACGGTCACGCATGAGTGATTCTGTTCTAGTGTTGCATCGCCGCACAAATTGCAAGTTCCCTAGTATTATGGATCTAAGACCAGTTAGTCTCTGTCATTCAACTCTTTATACAACTTCAGGGTTCACACATAGTAGAACCTTTTATTTTAAGCTACGTAATAGCTAACAGGTAGCAGCTGGTAAATCATAGGAAATCAAATAAAGTTCCTGCAGCTTAGCACTTAGAACAAAATAAGGTACTGTATAATTAAACAAAACTTGTGAAAAAATCCAGAAACATTATTTAAAAACTTTTCTTTTATTTATACTTTTTTAATGGTTTGAAACAAAAAACGGAATTACAGTAGTTACACAAACTTTAACAATTGACTTCTCATCCCACTTTATAACGAGAACATGTCACTCGCCACAAAACATGGCACCAACGTCACTTCATAAAATGTCATGCAGTCTGCTTATAAAACTAAAAACATTTTCAAACTTCACATTTCAAAGACGTTTGAAGTACAGGCACTTAATTACATCTATGTTGATATGAACCAACCGAAAATGAATACTGTAGACAGTAATATGCAGATGTACAAACTTAATTTGATTTTTAGTTTCTTTTATGTCTGTATACAATTTCAAGCAGGTAAATGCTCAAAATGGAAGATATTATTTTTAATAATATAACTCAACAGAAAGCAACAATATAAAATGTATCACGTACAGTACATTCTCAGATATGTTTACAAGATTGCTAAGTTCAACATTTCTTTTATAGTAACCTTAAAAAAATCTGATGTCTATTAACTATTTACTTTTTATTCATTTCCTTCATGTGTTTCCCCAACAAACCATTCAGAGATATTCCTGCCCCTTACTACAACAAGAATTACCTCATGACCGCCATTCTATTAGTAAATTTATGTTTTCTATTTCTATATTATTAAATTTAATTTTTTGCTTTAAAATGTTTTGAGGCCAGTACAATTGAATAATAATATATTGCACTGTGAAATGCAAACAAATGATACAATGATTTGGTCCATACCACAGTGCCTGTACCCCAGTGACCTCTCAAGTCAGTGACCTACACTAAATATAATGTAATTCAACATTTCTTTAATAAAATCACAAAAACAAAATTTTAAAAAATTAGGTTACATATTTCTTTTCAAAACTTTGGCAAGGTTGATCAAGTTGATACATCAGTTTGATTATTCAACAATTTGTTTACTTTTTCTTCTCCAGTAGTTTCTTCATTTCAGATTGTAGCGAACTGACCTTTGACCGTTCTTGCTCTAGAGAGGCATGCAGCTGGCAGACCTAAAATATTAAAAATATGACAACTGAGATACACAGCTGATTTGCCAAAAACTGGTCACATTTTGTACACCATGGTGGGGAATATGATCAGGTATCTACAGAATAGGAGTGCTGATAAGGAGTTAAGCGGCTGCAAATAATTACCTGATGTGGATCGGTTTATCTTGATCAGGGTAAACAACAATAATTCTGGTGTAGGCATACTTAATTAAAAAAAAACAAAAACAAAAAAAAACAAATACATAATAGTATCTGCAGCCGTGAAGCTGAAAAGTAGTACAGTATTCCACAATGTTGCAGCAGCTAATCAGCGCATTTGGCATTTTAGCCACTAATACTCCTAGGTGGAGAGAATCAATGCAGATATAGTGCCTTTCTTGAAGGACACAAGTGAAATGCACAGGGACTGAAACTCTGACCTTGTTATTAGGAAACCAAATGGTTCCCGCTGTGCCAAACCACTTCTACAATGAAGATGTACATCTTTTAGTACAACTAAAAGGTATTTTAAGCAAGGGTTTACAGGAAACCCAACAGTTCTGCCCAACATCGTGAACAAGAGAAAGAACGTTCATGTCAAAACTGGAGCAAAAGTGCATTTCTCCTGTTCGCGAGAGATGGAAGACCTGATAAAATCAGGCATTCTTACAAGATCAGAATTCATCCAGCATGAACCAGACCTCAGTTTCTCCTAATTAATCAATTATATATTTGTTCCACTGTTTGTAGAAATTCAATCTTCATGCAAGTAGGCTTTAAAAATAATTATTTGACTAATAATAAACAGTAATCACTTACTTACTACATATTATCATGCTTGAAATTGTATGATTTAGGCCATTTAAAAAAAGTGCAGTTAATGTGTTTAAATTTATATATTTTTATCATTGAATATGTCAGGCACTTATAACTGGTATTACAGTAAACTCACCTCTTCAGTAAGTTCATCCTTTACAGAATTTAGTTCCTCAACTTGCTTTAGAACATCAGCCTTGTCTTTCACTAAGAAAAAATATTTCACATTTTGATAAAAGAATTTCATAGAGGTGGGCAAAGTGTGGCCTGTGGGTCACATGGGGCCCAAAGACAATTTTGTTTTGGCCTGCAACAACCCTATGTGTGTGACCTGCCCATAATCTTTAGCTAGAAAAAGTATTGTTTTACGGTCGTCACCGATCATCTGTAATAAGTAATATTTATACTGAGCATAACAGGGTATAAGAGCAACTCATGAAGGGTTTTATTTTAATGTCCAAGTTAGGTGCGGCCTTCAGTGCTAAATCAAAACCCCTGTTGTATAGGCTTCTTGTAAAATGACTATGTTACATTCACCATCTAATAATTAGCCAAATTCTTTATTAAACCAATTATACTTCATTTAATGTTCCTATTATGCAGTCAATAAATTGTAAAAATGATAAAGCTAGAAATTCAATTATTTATTAAACTACAAATGTCCATGTTTTCTAGGCCAGCTCATGGGCTTGTTGTTCAAAGCACTACATTGGATGCAGTGATGGCTTAAAAAACTTGCGTCTAAAATAGTCTGATAAGGTATCAGGGTAAGGGCAAATGAGAGGTAAATATTACACAAAACTGATAGTGTTGACAGGTGAACCAGTCAATTCGAGCGCATGCGGATTTGAGTGGAATTTACTTTGAGCAGAAAAAGATCAACTTATGCGAACAACCTGTGTGAGTTATGTACAAATTACGTGAAAATTTCCTATTTTGAGCTAACAATTTGCATTCGGCTGAGGCTCAAGCTTTGCCTGGGAGCCAAAGGAAAAGCCCCGGTGGGTTCCAGGGGAGAAGCCTATAGCCTTATGTATAGAAGTCGTATTTTATTGATTTTTAGGTTAAGAATTTAAAATTAATTAAACATACCTACATTCATAAAAATAATGGATTTATCTTATCATAGTCATTCGTAATTGTTATTCTTTTCACTCGCTTTAAGAAAGGGTCTTCAACTATGGACGAATGCTGAATAGTGGGGAAAATTGATATGATGTCATGTCTGTCATTATTACGGTACTGTTGATAGGCTTGTCACAGTACACCAATGATTGTGCACCTTCTGACACCTCTAGATATATAAAATATATAATTTAAATTAGTATGGTGAATAACAATTACAGTTACTCCCATTTACAAATATAAATTGTAAATTTAGGGACTACAAATACAATTACAACATAATTCTATTACAAATATAATTTGCTTTTTAAAATACAAAACCCCAACTGGAGACAAAAACAGTGAATTCAGAATAAAACGAGCGCAATTCAATAGTTTAAAATATACGCCTAGTCTTGCTTGTTAGTGGTCATCTGGTAGTCGGATTTGCCAAGACTGTAATTCAAACATGGAATAATTATCAAAAGTGCCAAAACATTTCAGAACTTTACTGCACAGAGCATTTTTGCATTTAAAACAAACGATAGTTCTATTTCACTCAGAAATACAAGAACGGCGATGATAAATTTTCCCTTGTTATAGTTCGCACTAAATGCATCCCCTCGAACTGGCATCCGCTCGAATTGACATACGCTTAAACTGACATACGCTTGAACTGACAATACGCTTGAACTGGCATTCGTTCGAATTGACTGGCATTTGTTGACAGAGCTTAAATTCTACCATGGAGGAATTCCTACAATTCTTATATGAGGCTTGCCATCCTAAAACCAATGTACTGTCACTAATTGTTAAACTGAATAATTCAAGAATGTGCCAGTATTGTATACTTTAGTACAGAGAAGCTGTAATACTTTTACTCAACTTTGGTAAAAATAAGTTAATTTCAGTACCCATCATTCTAAAGCTTATAATGTGGAGTCTAAGAATATATAAAAAAGTCAATTTTGATAATACTTGGCCACTGATGCTGGTTTTTGGGTGGCAAGCCTCATACTGTTGGGATTTAGATTAATGCAGCTACATACAGTATTAAGGCCTGTTTATACTTCAACGATATCAAATAGTTCTAGTGTAAAAACTTCTCTTATTTCTTGAATATTCAGGGATTTCTTTAGTTAATTGTTGCATTAATATCAGTGTAAGGGTACTCACTTTCTCCCTGAGCTAAGATGAAGCAGAGCTGTTTGTTTCTCTTCTTAACTTGTGAAAGTTCCTCCTGTAAAAAGTATAGATGGCAGCTGATTAGTGCTACTTAAAATTTAATCACAATATACAAACATAATGCGGAAATGTACGTTGATAAACAGTCAGATGTCCAGAAAAACTTATTACTTTCACATACAATTACCAACCATACAGTGTTGGGGCTACAATCGACCCATATACGTTGTTTGTGTTTACTCCTGTTTGTAAATACGTCACTCCGAATTTAGGATGCCTGCTGTCGTTTGTATGTACTGTATTACCCAGTACTGCACCACGCATGGTTTGTTTATGTGTATGTTTTTCACATGGTACAATACCTTTTTAGAGGGCGGTAGATTTCCTTATTTTCTTTATGTCATACCATCGTGCACAGTGCAGTACTTTACAATAAAGTACATACAAACAACAGCAGGCGTCCTACACTGACTGTGTACTGCGTATCTGTTTTTACGCTCTCAATGAGTGTAGTAGCCTGGGTTCCAGGCCCTAATTTGTGTATACTCACTCTTTATTGCACTTAGTGCGCGCCGTACCTAATTTAATTGGCGCCCCATACTCGATTTCTTTTTTTTTTTTTCGGCCTGGGCAAACGATTCATGCGTACGATTTCCCACATCAAATTCGATGTGGGATATCGTATGCATGACTGATTTTGTAAATCACATGATTGGCTTACTTCATGCATATTAATTAATCTTGGTAAATTTTCAAAATTGAAGATGTGGATGTCTCGACTAGGACAAGCTAACCAGCTCCCTTCTGCCTACCTACTTGAATTAAAACAGTTAGTATATAGTCCTGGCCTGCTGAGAACGACTATGGACTGATAACCGTAGTAGGCTATACTTACAGAACCTTGCTCTCCGCTAGCTGCTACACAGATTTAGGTCTTTATGGTAGAATATTGTTAAAAAGGTGGGCCTCTGTAAGTAAGAACTTAACAATAGGCCAAGCCTCTAGGCTAGGCCTCTGACTCCAGAGGACTATGTGGGCCATCCTCGTGGAAAGTTAAAGTGTTGTTGCATTTGTAATGGTATACTATCTAGTCTAAGCCTAATTGTTTTTGCCATTGCCAAAATTAGTCTTACTAGGGTCTATTCTAAATATTTTAGGCCCATTTTATTAGGCCCGTTTTATTAGGGGGACTATATTTGGCTCCAAAATTATGAACATTTGATAGGTTGAAATTGTTTATTTTGGTCGCCCATTTATCCAAATCCAGATTCTTTTGGCACCCTGGTGCCTGCATTCAGTGTTTTACAAGTCGCTTATTCCATCTCTAAATTAACTTTCTCGTTGGTGGCGCTGTCCAGAATGAGAAAAATAATAAAAAAATAAGAGACTTGTGGCAAGTCTATGAGCGTAGTTGGCTCTCTTGTTCTATTTATACTCTTTGGTAATGGGAGAGGATGCTAACTCTGCCTAGGATGCCATTTGTAAGACTACAAAGGTGTAATGGAGTATCAGCAGCGGTGAAATAAATAAATCTTGATTCTTTCAGAGTAAAATAATGAATATTAATACTGTAATCAAATTTCCTGACAAACAAGAAAAACAAAATAGAAATGGTTATTTATTTATTTACCACATCTATATACAGTAGTGCCACAGGGCTTGAAATTAACTTTTTTTCTTGGTAGCACTGCCAAAATTTTTCTGGCACCACCCAAAAAAATTTGGTAGCACAAGTAATTTTTTTAGTGGCACATATTTTCCCATCCTTTTCGCATCCCCTAAGAAAATAAGTGCTGCGCAATATTTTATTCTTTATATTTCCTAACAAACCCCCACACACCCACACCTACACTGTCCTCATGGATTATTATGCAAGAAAGAAGACATGAAAGAAAAAGAGAAGAGATTTTTAAAAATTGAAAAAAAAAAAACAAGAAAATAATAAATAAGAAATAACAAAAGGAAAGAAAGAAAAAAAAAAAGAAGTAAAATGGTGGAAAGAAAATGACAATGAAAAAACTAAAAGAAAGGTAAGTATCAAAAATGAAATACGAAAAAGGATGAAAAAATATTAAAAAGAAGATAGATATTAAAGGGATAGTAAAGAAAAAAGGTGCAAGGTAAAAAATTCAACCTAACTGGAAGGAAAGGGAAAGTATTTCATGGAAAGTTTCAATTGTTAGGAATATTTCTAAGAAAATTACAAATTT